TTATTTTTAATATTTTATAAATATATTAATATAAACATAAATATTAATAACAAATAACAAATTTAACGAATTAAAGCTATAATCGAATTGGCAATCATTATTCCTAGCACTATTTTGACAACAGAACGTCCAATTTTCTGATCTATTGAGAATATAAAGATGGTTGGAAAATATTGACATCACCGGCATCTTTTCCAAAATCATCTGGAGGTTTCATATCCGCGGCAAACGTTCTCTTTCGTAGGTAGTTATTTCCGTTCTGGCAAGCATCGCCACGGTGCAATGTGGAACTATTCTCACGCCTGTTATTGGCAAGCTCGTTTCTGAGAAGGTCGTCGAGGCGCACAGCAGCAACGTGGTGCATCCATCAGCATCGCTGGTGGCCGCGACTTCACCCGCGCTGCTGAGATACGCGGATGTCGCTCTGGTACAGCAACCAGTCGCCGAGATTGTGCAACCGGTGGCGAAGGCTTCTTTGGTCGCCGAGAAGACAATCGAGGCCCACGGACATCAAGTAATCCACGACGCACGTCCGTTGATCGCAGTGGCAAAACCTCTGGCAGCCATCGAATCGCACGTTGCAGTACCCGCGATTGCCAGTCGCGAAATAGCTTACACGGCACCATACTATTCACCGTATTATTCGGCGTATCCCCATCAGCTGATTGCCGAGAAAACTGTATCCAATTACGGGCATACCATTCAACACGCATAAATAATCACTGAAGTATCAAAATGTAAAATAATAACTCTAAAGAGCACATATGAATTTACAAAATGAATTTACAAAATCTATAATGAATTTAAAATATCTCCATTAGAGGATATTTTATTAAAAAAGATTAAATTATCTTTAAATGGAAAATTCGTCAATTATGAATTTTATAAATTTAAAGAGACAGTTGATCCCTGTTGTTCGTTAGTGTTAAAGAAAGGACCATCTTGCAGTCGGAAAACCACTCAAACCCCCGAAACTATCATCATTCTCGATCACTTTCACGGCGACATTATCTTCGTAGATTACTCTAAGAACTCCCAAGTTCGAAAACCATGTCGTTCGCGTGACTTAACAAAACTGATCGAAACTGGCAGTCTTTAGCCTGGGAAAGAGGCCGGTCGATTACGTTTGTCAACATTTATAAAAAAAAAAGATTGTATTGCACATACTCGATGTAAATTCCTCAATAAATTTTCATGCATTTCATATCCAGACACACATATATTTAACAAATCCAAGAAATAAAGTATTCAATTCATCGTATAAAAGTTATTCCCTTCTGTGTCCAAACTATTTGTCGTTATACAATAATTTCTGTATTTTTATATTTGTATTACTAATATTTTCTTAAACAAGTGCGAGATTCGCGCTCGTAAATTGTATAGATCTGCATCGTCTTGTCAACGAGTTCGCCACTCGATCAATGATACATATCTGTAACTCGATATAAATTGCCCGACGCGCGATTGCTTCGAAGGTGCATGCTTGGATCTTCAAGGTCTTGGGTGAATGAACTGCGAGTACTGCTAATGGCCTCGGTATCCCTTGTCTACGGTGCGTCGAATGGCCGAATGGCGTTGTAAAGCATGTATCCAAAGAGACGCGCGTAGTCGAGTCTCGAGTCGCGCTAGCCTATCGAACCTTCTCGCGTCTTCCTTTCTTAAATCACGCTCGTCCCACACTGACACTGAGAAGAAATGTATACGTGTACACGTACACTCGCTGAAGAAAATACCAACGGGAGAATTGCAGCGAAAACGTACGTGCTGCGTCCGAGGGACGTGGATCGATAATTGAAAAATGCGAAGTCGAAGGGCTCTTGCGCTAGGATTGTTTCTCGAAAGAGGAAGAAATAGAAATGGGAGGTAATGGAAGAGAGAAACGTTCCTTGGGACTCAAGCATTATTCTTATCAATGTACTTCTGTCGTGCGCGTTTTATCCATTGTATATTTAACGAAACGTAATGCGAACGGAAGGAAATCTGCAATTTAATTTTTGTTAAGAAGATATACTGAGGATTTAGATTATTAAGCATCTTTTTGGATGAAAGTAGTGTTATTTCTTTCGTTGTAATTAATTCATTACATATTCTTTTATGCGTAAATATTTATAATAATCCTTCGTTATCTTCTCTTTCAAAGCAATCAAAAATGCAATTTAAAATGGTAAAAAATCTGCAGGCTTTTCTTGCAAAAAATCTAGACTACAAAAAGTGGAAAGAACAGTTTTGCTGAAGTATCTAAAAATTTAGGTAAATTAGAAAATAATTTTATTGGGCTACCAGAATAATTTGTAAAATGTTCAAGCAGACAGTACATAATATTCATAAAATATTTACAAAATATTTGCAAATATTCATTAGACTTATTTTAAATATTTTTGTGGTCTTAAATTGCACAATCAAAAAATATTTATTATGAAATATTTATTGTAAATGTTGCGGAAAATACTTAA